GTTTTTTTTGTTTTCAACATTCAGAGGTCCATATCAGCTTTAAACCTCATATACACCTCTGCATGTTGTGTGTCTGTTCGACAGAGATGAGCACGTAGCTGTGAAGATAGTGAGGAACATTGAGTGTTTCTGTGAAGTAGCGAGGTCTGAGATCGCTGTGCTGGAGGAAATCAACCGCCTGGATGATGATAACAGATTGTAAGTGTAGCTTACATGAAATCCAGGGGGTTACATTTTTCCTTGACAGCATTCAGTTAAATCTTTTTTCTTCTTGTTTAACTAATGGGCTGAAGGAAAGAATAGCTGCGTTATTGCTGTTTGCATTAATTTCTCATTCTAATCTCCAGCGATTGCGTTATTAAAGTGATTTATCGTGTCTTCTGACAGCGCCTGCGTGAGGATGCTGGACTGGTTCGAGCATAAAGGCCACGTCTGCATCGTGTTCGAGCTGCTCGGCCTCAGTATCTTTGAGTTTCTCCGACAGAATGAGTTCCTGCCGTTCAGCGTGGGGCAGATTAGACGCATGGCCTTCCAGATCTTCAAAGCTGTGTGCTGTGAGTCGGGTGTTTACTTCTGTGAGACGTTGGCGATCTTGGGACTGAAACATCTCTTAGTTCCTAAAGACCTCTTTATTGTTTGTGGGGTTTTTAGATCATTTTAGGAGAGAAATCAAAACTAATGTAGTGTAACAAAGCGTAACCCTGTTAGCTTGTCTGCCACTACATTTTGATCAACAGTAGCTGACAAACAGGGAAAATTACTGATTCATTTTTTTAAAAAAAAAGTGTTTTTTTGCCTTCTACAGGGACAGTCGAACACTGTGTTGCTCAGCTTAAAAAATGGTTGATTTCATGCACAATCGTATTGTGCATTTTTGTGTGTTTTGCAGTTCTGCACCGTAACAAACTGACCCACACAGACCTGAAGCCAGAGAACATCCTGTTTGTGCGCTCTGACTATGACCTGGAGTATAATGAGGACTTGGTAAGAGTGCAATATCACGTCATGGTTTTATTTTAAGGTTTGCTATGTGATGAAGGATGTTTACTAGAGTGTGTGTGTGTGTGTGTGTTCCTGTTTGTGTGTATGCGCCCCTTTTTATGTCAGGAGTGTCAGGAGTGTAAGGAGAAGAGGCTGAGGAGTCTTGACGTGACGGTTGTGGACTTTGGCAATGCCACATTTGACCACGAACCCCATGAATCCCTGGTTTCAACGCGTTACTACCGAGCTCCAGAAGTCATACTTGGTACACAAACGACTGACACATGCACACACACTCCTACATGAACGCTCAGAGAATTAAGCTCAGTTATCTACATTTGTTTTGTATGTGTGTTCTCAGGTCTGGGCTGGAACCAGTCATGTGACGTTTGGAGTCTGGGCTGTGTCATGATGGAGTTTTACCTCGGACGTGCACTCTTCCCGGTACACACACACACACACACGTGCACGCACACACGTGCACGCACACACAGTAGTATAACTGCTGGTTTTGTTTCAGACCCATGACAGTAAAGAACATCTGGCCATGATGGAGAAAGTCCTCGGACCGATCCCCCCACATCTGCTCAAACAGACCAGGTAGCTACACA